GTGCAAGGTGACATGTCAATGAAGTTTTCAGTTACTGTTGCCATTAAAAGAAATTAGTACCATTAGTTTTCCGCAACATGGCGAGGCTTTTTATGTTCCTGGTCGGGCTATAATATATATTTTACATATTATACCTATACGTGTTTCATTTATTAATCGAAATATAAAAATCTTTGAAAGACTAAATACCTAAACTCTATTAAAATTTTAAATTAATTATTCATGTTTTAATACCTTATTCTACCTAAAAATTAATAACTTATATCAAGTCTTAATACGGTCACGGCTCAAGATTTTTTTGTCCATTTCGGCGTTCTTTTTACTCTTTTGTCTTTGCGTTGACAGTTTGTAGCTAAATTCGCGCGGAACATTTTTGTGAAATGGCTCTTAAAGAAGGACAAATTGCTAAATCTCAAATGTCAAGTACTTTTTGAAACAGAAAATTGAAAATCTTATTTTCAAGCAAGGACAAAAACGATATTACGAATAAAAATCATTTTCTATTTCATCATTTCATTCTTAGATACCGGAGGAGAATGCTGAATGGCATTAGGTCCGCCTAATGTACTTTGATTTATGTGCAATAAGTGTTAAATAAATAAATAAGCCGCCGCTCGACTGTTGTGGTGAGCCCACTCGTGACACAAGCATATTTAGCTTAGTACGAGGGGCTAACGGGACTATAATTTGTGCAATACAAATCTATATCTATAAAAGCGAAAGGTCACTGATTGACTGACTCGCTATCATCACGAAATCTCAGAAACTACAAGTCTCAAATGTTGCCACCTTTTAGGCTGGTCTTAGTGTCACGGGGACTGTCAGACACTAAAACCAGCCTTAGAACGTAGGTGTTCACTTAGACGGGATTTTGCAGAATTCAATCCCTAAGGGGGTAAAACGGGATCTACGCGTAGAAAAGCTAGATACTAATAAAGTACCCAATGACGATAGTTACCTGCAGGCCAGCGTGACCGCATCGCCGTCGGTGACGACCTGCGACTGCGCATGGTCCACGATCCTCGGCGGCTTGTCGCCGGTCTTCACTCCGGGAGCCGCCGCCGAGCCGTCCATGGCTGGAGGTGGTAAATAATTGTTTAATACATAATTAATTTAAATATAATTAGGTCTTTTAGTAGTCTGGGAGTACATGTGGAGGTTTAGTGGGTAAACTGAGTGGGCTAATCCCCATTAATCAAAGAGTTGAGCATGATATGATGCTGCAGCCCTCATTTTATAGTAAGTATGCGTAATTCATTTCATCCGCAAAATAAAACGCTCAATCTTCATGGAAGCGTAGCGAAGCTTTATTCGTTTTCTTACGATTGCTACAATCCTTTACTAGCCTTTCGATTTGTGTTCCTAGACTATGAAATCAGATTACAGCCAGTATAACAATCCGCCTGCTCTATTAACTACAATTCTACAGATTTCACGCTATGTGCTTTCTCATTAGGACACCATGGTGGCGCTACTGGTCCAATAACAACAAAATACCAAATAGAAAAAAAATGGAATCATTTTTGGTTGCCAGCAACAAATTGGTGACGCGGCCAAGATACCAGATGAAGTACCCTCCATATAACTGTTTACATTTTTGGAGGCTAGAAGGCTCCATTATAGTGTCACGTAGGCTTAGTGTGAGTTTACATCAAACGTCATCACTAGCGAGCTTCTTGAAAGTTTCCGCTAGGGGCGCTGTACAATAAGTCATACATTTAATGTCACTTTTTCACGCTGTCAACTTTGAATGCGTTTGACGTAAACTCACACTATGCCCTCTGATGAGATAAGGCATATACTGTTTTTTATGTGTGCAAAAAATAGAGAGTAATCAATTATACTCACGTTTGACGGAGACCTTGCACTTGGTCTCGACCTCGCCCTGGCTGTTGATGGCCTTGAGCGAGTATTCGCCTTCGTCTTCGGGGAACACCTCGCTGATTGCCAGCGAGGCTACGCCGTTCTTGTACTTGAGGTCTACCACCTGTAAGGTAAATATTGACGCTTAGTTTTATGTCTCTTTATGTATAAAAGTCGTACAATATCTTGGGCTGACATAGATACTTTACGTTGAGTTAACATGTGGCCTAATGAGGGCTATCGTTTTTATACTTAACAGTTGGCACCCCTGGCGATTGACAGGACCTTACTCTACAGTGGCGCCATCTTGATGAGTGCAAACGCGATAGTCCTCCTACCACTTTCGCGCTCACCAGTTGGTGCCACTGTCTTCGCTACTAGCAAGTAACAGGACCTTACTCTACAGTGGCGCTAACTGGTGAGCGCTAAAACGATAGCCCTCATTCACGTATTTTCAGTCAAGATCTCGCTGACGTTCAGAAGTCGTACCATTGAAAAACTGTTCTACATCCGTATTCACAAGGGTCAGTTCGGTAGAACGATTACTCGATAGGATCGCAACTCAGCGATTTGTTGTCGCTGAAGTTTTGTTACGTGAATAAGGCTATTGATTGATAATATGATTTTAGACGCGTAGATGGATGACAAAGTACAGATTGAGCTTCGTGGCATTCCTTGAGGGACTAACGTCTAGAAAAACTGCAGATAATAATAACCTATATGAAATAATGTGCAGACACAGAACAGGCTAGTAATGGCCTTTCGAGCAGGAATGGTCCTTCAAGCCGGATGGTCCTTCGAGCAGGTTGGTCCTTCGAGCTGGTTGGTCCTTCGAGCCGGATGGTCCTTCGAGCCGGATGGTCCTTTGAGCCGGATGGTCCTTCGAGCCGGATGTATGTAGATGCTTACCTCAGACGAGTGCAGCGGCTTGCCGTTCTTGTACCACTGCACGCGCGGGTCGGGGTCACCGCGCACCGAGCACGACAGAAGTAAAGGCGCGCCGTCACGCGCGTTTAGCACGTCGGGCAGCGCGCGCGCGAATGATGGCGCGCACATCGTTGAGTCTGACGCTGGTACTGTAGATGAAGATGTTTGATATTAGGATTTTTCATTTAGGCGCCAATAGTGCAAGGTTTTAATGGCGGACTGCCGATTAGAGTGTAGTTGTAGTGGAAAAATAGTTTAGACTTGGTACTATAACCCTTTAAGCCAGTGGTTCTTAACCGGTGGTCCGCGGACCACTGGTGGTCCCTGGAGGCATTCCAAGTGGTCCACGAAGACATCGTAATGAACAAGTGACGTGACGTGATGAGTCGAGTTAACACAACGCAAACGACGTTCAGTGGGCGAGAAATAGACCTCCCCATTCATAGGATTTTGAAAAAAAAAGTGGTCCCTGACAAGACAGAAATTTGGTAAAATGGTCCCTCGTGACTTAAAGATTAAGAACCACTGCTTTGAGCGGTGCCATAGCCATTTGAAGAGGACTTAATTTATCTGTGATGCCAACTGCGTCTACTTGACGTTCCAACTGTTTTGTTACAGTCGTGGGCACAAGTAGCTTCTGCTAGTATTACATGGCATGACATAATGCATTTCTTCTCTGAAGTGGTTGTCATTTTCAATCGTAGTGAAACACGATAGTTTAAAATCTTAAGCTTAACGAAATAAACACTTCTATGAACACAACGAACTGATGAAGGTCGAGGGAAGAACCTGGATGCGGGCTGGAGGCTTTTGTCCAGCAGTGGACGTCATATGGCTGAAACCAACGAAGTAAATACTCACAAACTAGCTCTTTAGTAGCGCTCCTCGACCGCGAAGACGCGTCCGAGTCCAGTTTGGCGCCGTACTTCTTCTTGCTCGCTTCTACCGAGCTCTGCGGCGAGTATTTGGGCCTGGGAACGGCGTGCGACTTCTGTGGCGGGTCGATTGTGACCTGAGGGTACATGGAATTTGTTATAGTAAGATTTATATTTAAAGTAGATAGTAGGTCGGCTTCATTATAAAAACTAAGGCTGGGTTGCACCAAATTACTGAAACTTTAACAAACGTCCAGTCTGTCAAACTCCATACAAAAGACACCGGTTATCGTTATAGTTAGCGTTGAAGTAAGGTGGTGTAACTCAGCCTTATCGTTTTCAAATCACAATTCTTTATTACTAGATTATTTTTATCATAGCAGCATCGGCGCAGGAGTGCAATCAACTTAATTTTACCTTGACCTAAATTAACTCACCATACTGACGAGACGGGTTAGGGAAGCCTAATGCCGCAATTATACAATTTTGAAGCCACGATAGCCGAACGGTGAAGGGGTCGGACTGGTCGACTCGTGATCCGGGAAACGCGGGTTCGGTCCCCGCCGCCGTGCTCGACTATTGTGGTGAGCTCACTCGTGACACAAGCATATTTAGCTTAGTACGAGGGGCTAACGGGAGTATTAGTAATTTGTGAAATAACAAATAACTAATAATCTTTTTATAAAAAAAAAAATAAAAAAAAAATCGTGTTCGCCATTCTCCTTATGACTCGACGAAACATTCGTATACCAGTGTGTCGCGAACTACACTGTTCATATGCTTCGCTTGCTCGCTATTCGCCACCCCATTCATATAGAAACTCGCACGAATGCGTGAATGTGGTATCATGGTCGCCTTTTAACAAGCAAGAGACGGGGTGATCCTATTCTACTCTGCAACTACACGGCTCTAACTAGAAACAAAACGAACTAAATAGTCGTATACTTAGTTCTTACCTTAGTCTTGGTGATGATAGGAGGTGGTGCAGGCTTGATGGGCTTCTCGATGTAGCGGCGGTCTCCTGAGTGCAGGAAGTTGTGCGCTAGCGCCGCTTGCTCGGGTGACACTACCTCGCCTGCAAACACAATCAAGTTTACAACAACTGTTATCTTTTCTTACAAGTTAGTTTTTGAAAAGACCTAAAGACCTTCTTTCTACACACACCGGCAGATTTAGCGGAACGCAAAAAAAAGTATGAAAATAAGGAAAATTACTACTGATCTATGAAATATTTATTATACAAAATAAAGAGATAATTAAAATAAAATAAAATAACATATATTTTTTAAATATTTAGTCGTTTTTATTTAATAAAAAATCATCGAAACGAAATTTCAATTTTTCAGTTTTGAACAAAAATTAGAAATTGTGGCCAGATTAAAAATTAGGGTAGCTTATCACTATCCAAATGAATGAATTAATGATGGGTATTTCCCCCTCTTGCTCTGATGATGGTTTCCATTCATCTGAGCATGCTGCAGTTAATGATATGAAGGGTATTTTGGGGCAATGTCTGCCATTCCTCTAGTAACGCGTTTCTCAACACCACCGGTGGTATTCTGAGTTTAACACATCTTTTAAGAAAGTCCAAGACATGCTCTATAGGATTCTTGTCTAGGGATCTTGCCAGCCACTGCATCATGGGTATATCCAAATGGTTTAGATGTGCCTGTACTGAGCGAGCACTGTGAAAACGAACATTATCGTGAATTAAACTAAAGGAGTCCACAATAAATGGAGTAAATGGCACATCATGTTCTTCTAAAATGTTCCTAGTGTACCATTCAGAAGTCGTATTTCCTCCATCACCCACCACTAACTCCGTGCGAGCTCAACATTATCGTGAATTAAACTAAAGGAGTCCACAATAAATGGAGTAAATGGCACATCATGTTCTTCTAAAATGTTCCTAGTGTACCATTCAGAAGTCGTATTTCCTCCATCACCCACCACTAACTCCGTGCGAGCTCCCAAAAAAATCCTTCCCCACACCAGAATTAAGCTACCTCCATAAACCACGATATTTTCAAAATTAAGACTAAATGTTACGTTCTCTTTGTGTCTCCATATTCGCTATCTTCCATCGATCTGGTTTAAGAGAACTCTGCACTCATAAGTGAAGAGATCATGCCTCCAGTCGTTCAAGACCCAATCACGATATTCACGTGAAAAGTTCAATATGTTTTTTCGGTGCTGTGTCACAAGTTGGAGCTTTCTCGGGTATGCACGACCCTATACCAACTTCAGTAAATCTCCTGTGAACTGTGGGCTCAGTCACTCTTACTCCTCGAGTGTCTTTAAGGTTATTTCTGGCTTGAACAGCAGGTAACCGCGACTTTCTGAAAACTCGAAGTTGTAAAAAACGGTCATCCCGTCGCGAAGTACGCCTTTTTCTGACTTGAACCCTCCTCCTAACGACAGAAATGATCAATCTGTACCGTTGGTTACTGCCATGGGTGGTCGATACTGATCAACGACGTCTTACGGCAGCCGATTTGTATGCATGGCCGTTACTTCTCATTTCATCTGCCTTAATGATTTCTGACGGTGCTAAGCTGGGTATAATAAACCCTTATAAGTAACTGAATGCTTACACAACAAAATTCTCAGAAAAAAACATCTTCCACGTAAAAGAAATCCAAATTAGCAAAAGCTTCATTCAATTCAAAACACTCAACGAAACTGTTGATGGGGTAATTTAAACAAAATAATTAAAAAAATATACTGTTGGCAATTATTTTTTTCATATTTAGAATTAAATTAAAAAATAATGTCATAATTAGGCATTTTTTTCCTAAAATAATGATGATATTGATGCTTTTTTTTCCGTTCCTCTAAATCTGCCGGTGTGTGTAGGTTAACAATATGCAATGCCGTAATTAAGACGGTGAGGGTGAAGATCGAAAAAATATTGGAGAATAGTCCTGATTTTATAAAAGACAGGATGCAGTTGTAAAAGCTTGCGTTGGAAAGCTAGTTACTAGCTGGCGTATTTCTTCCAAATAAACTAGCTTCAGCTAACAGCTTTTTGATTTTAGTGATTTGCAGTTCTTATAAACAGAGTGTACAGGGTTTCTATGGAGTCTACTCACTGATCAGAATAGAATCAGGACGAAATATCGAGAATTCAAGAATAATATTTAGGAACTGACGAAACATCTCCTCCATAGCTTTTGTATAGCAATGGGGGCTGACAATCTATCGATTGTTACTAAAAATCATATTTTGAGACAACATTTTCGGGACTAGAATGAAGTATTTTTTGGTTATATTGTCAACTACCCACGTCCCAGATAACATTTTTAATTAGGAGTACAATATTACGACTTACCCTCAACAATAACGACGCACGAGGTCTCATCGGTGCCATGGATGTTGGTGGCGATGCAGCTGTATTTGCCGCTATCCTCGGGCCGGCAGTCGATGATCTCCATGGTGACGACGCCATCGGCGTGCGTCATGGAATAGTCGAACTTGGATAGCTCCTTTCTATCCTTGTACCTGGATGGTTTGAAATGGAGGTGTTAATAAAGTTCGGTATTATACTAAATTATAGCCAGGGCCGGATCTACCATATGGCATTTTCGGCTTCAGCCCAGGGCCCCGTAGATTCATGGGACCCCCAGCTAAGTCAAGTCAAAGTCAAAAATAGACAATAATGCGAAAGAGTTACAGTAGGTGGGCCCGTATTAGCCCAGAGTTCCCTAAACTCACGGTCGGGCCCTGATTATAGCAGATGTCTTTAAAGGGATTCGCAGATTTACTGAGTTTTATACAATTTATGGGGTCTAGTATCACATATTCCACATCTTATAGATTAGGAATAATACCTGTATTAATATGAATCTAACTTGAAGCGTGTTTTACGTGCGTACTAGGTAGTGACACAAAACTCAGCTCAATTTCAAGCACAGATTGAATCTTTTCACTTGAATGAGATCTGGATTTGTGCTGGGCTTGCCGCTGAGGCTGCAGCTGGAAGGTGAAGGCGGGCGCCGTCTCGCTCGACTCCTGCCAGAAGGTGTGGGCAGGTGTCCACGCGTGGGCTTACCACTTGACGGTGGGCGTGGGCTTGCCGCTGAGGCAGCAGAGCAGCTTGCAGGTGTCGCGCGCCTGCATGACGCGCGGCCGCAGCTGGAAGGTGAAGGCGGGCGCCGTCTCGCTCGACTCCTGCCAGAAGGTGTGGGCAGGTGTCCACGCGTGGGCTTACCACTTGACGGTGGGCGTGGGCTTGCCGCTGAGGCAGCAGAGCAGCTTGCAGGTGTCGCGCGCCTGCATGACGCGCGGCCGCAGCTGGAAGGTGAAGGCGGGCGCCGTCTCGCTCGACTCCTGCCAGAAGGTGTGGGCAGGTGTCCACGCGTGGGCTTACCACTTGACGGTGGGCGTGGGCTTGCCGCTGAGGCAGCAGAGCAGCTTGCAGGTGTCGCGCGCCTGCATGACGCGCGGCCGCAGCTGGAAGGTGAAGGCGGGCGCCGTCTCGCTCGACTCCTGCCAGAAGGTGTGGGCAGGTGTCCACGCGTGGGCTTACCACTTGACGGTGGGCGTGGGCTTGCCGCTGAGGCAGCAGAGCAGCTTGCAGGTGTCGCGCGCCTGCATGACGCGCGGCCGCAGCTGGAAGGTGAAGGCGGGCGCCGTCTCGCTCGACTCCTGCCAGAAGGTGTGGGCAGGTGTCCACGCGTGGGCTTACCACTTGACGGTGGGCGTGGGCTTGCCGCTGAGGCAGCAGAGCAGCTTGCAGGTGTCGCGCGCCTGCATGACGCGCGGCCGCAGCTGGAAGGTGAAGGCGGGCGCCGTCTCGCTCGACTCCTGCCAGAAGGTGTGGGCAGGTGTCCACGCGTGGGCTTACCACTTGACGGTGGGCGTGGGCTTGCCGCTGAGGCAGCAGAGCAGCTTGCAGGTGTCGCGCGCCTGCATGACGCGCGGCCGCAGCTGGAAGGTGAAGGCGGGCGCCGTCTCGCTCGACTCCTGCCAGAAGGTGTGGGCAGGTGTCCACGCGTGGGCTTACCACTTGACGGTGGGCGTGGGCTTGCCGCTGAGGCAGCAGAGCAGCTTGCAGGTGTCGCGCGCCTGCATGACGCGCGGCCGCAGCTGGAAGGTGAAGGCGGGCGCCGTCTCGCTCGACTCCTGCCAGAAGGTGTGGGCAGGTGTCCACGCGTGGGCTTACCACTTGACGGTGGGCGTGGGCTTGCCGCTGAGGCAGCAGAGCAGCTTGCAGGTGTCGCGCGCCTGCATGACGCGCGGCCGCAGCTGGAAGGTGAAGGCGGGCGCCGTCTCGCTCGACTCCTGCCAGAAGGTGTGGGCAGGTGTCCACGCGTGGGCTTACCACTTGACGGTGGGCGTGGGCTTGCCGCTGAGGCAGCAGAGCAGCTTGCAGGTGTCGCGCGCCTGCATGACGCGCGGCCGCAGCTGGAAGGTGAAGGCGGGCGCCGTCTCGCTCGACTCCTGCCAGAAGGTGTGGGCAGGTGTCCACGCGTGGGCTTACCACTTGACGGTGGGCGTGGGCTTGCCGCTGAGGCAGCAGAGCAGCTTGCAGGTGTCGCGCGCCTGCATGACGCGCGGCCGCAGCTGGAAGGTGAAGGCGGGCGCCGTCTCGCTCGACTCCTGCCAGAAGGTGTAGGGCAACGCCTCGCGGCGGCGCGGCGCTTCCGGCAAGTGTTGGCGTTGGACCTTGGGAACCGCTGGAAGAAGAGCACACAGTCAGTCGTGTCGTGTAGTTGGAAACTAGGACCCTGAGACGAGGTACAAGCAAGATCACATCCAAGTTTCTAAGGATGTAAGATGAATAACGATATGGCTACAATAAAATTTGATTGTTTAAGATCTTTTTCTGGCAAGTGCTGCAGTTAGACTTTGGGAGCCGCTGGAAAAGAGGGACATATGGTCAGTCGTATAAAAAAATATAAGCAGGAACAATTTCAAATTAAGACAGACAAGGCTGCAAGATTAATAACGATTCGGAGTCGGCCGTTTGGTGTAGTGGTTCAGAACGGACTACTATGCCGAGAGGTCCCGGGTTCGATTCCCGGCCGGGCAGAAATTGAAATGATGAATTTTAATTTCTGTGACGGGTCTGGGTGTGACTATGTATAATATTTATGTATTTAAAAAAAAAAAAGTATATAAGTAGTATATCCGTTAAGCTAGCACCCATAACACAAGCATTAAGTTGCTTACTTTGGGGCTAGCTGGCGCTGTGTGAAATTGTCCAAAGATTTATTATTTATTATTATTAATAACGATAAATTGGTTGTTTAAAGTTCGTTTTATCATGGGATAAGGTTAGGCTGGGAAGCCTGAAGCTTGTTTTGTTTCTAAGCCCTGACACAAAGCTAAAAGAAAGCACATGAGAATGGAAAAAAAACGAAGTAATTTTATAAATGGAGATCATAGAAAAGTATACAACTTCAAAATCTATAACGCTCTTCAACTGATTTGTATCTAGCCTTGAAAAGGGCAGAAAAGCTAAGATATTTTTAACTTTTGAAAAATAAAACACACAAATATTACCGGAAACGAATTTCCACGGTATCGCACATCAACAACACGGTTTTAACCTTTTCACCGTACACAACACAAACTCGTTTCACCGTTCAAATATCTAGACTAATTAAAGTACAATTCGGCCTAGGGCCAGCGCGAGAATAGATCTGGCGTCCGCGACCTATTTGTTCACATTTAAACTATTAAGTCGTTGAACCGATCGGTTGGCTTTCATCTCATCTGACAGGTTTATTGTTTAGCTAGGTTTATTAATTGTGCCATTATATTAGTCATAATGATTTAATTGGGGGAGTTTTATTGCTGGTTCTAAATATATCGCTATTATATTTTGAGCGTTGTTTGCTCTAGTGGCATTTATGAGGTTAATACAGAGGTTAAATCAGATATATTTTCTAACTTTCTATCCTGTACTTTCTGTGAACTATTTTAAACAATTCAGCTTAAACTATACAAAGGAATACAGATACTAGAACAGACACAGACGTCTGTGTGTGACAGAGCCGCCGAAAGTTCGAGACAGGTTCTCGAATGGGCATACATCTTGGCAAACGTAATACGGACACCCCTTGTTCGATAGATAGATGACTTCAAAAAATAGCTAGCAATAGCTACATGAAAATAAAGCGGCGGATTCTTAAATTGAGGCTGATCTTGACAAACGTTGAAAAACGTTCATGTTCTGTTCCTCAGAGATGGGGGGAGGGGGTTCTACTTCTAATAATTCATTATCATTGGCTGCAATGATGATGATGATATGAGGGTGTTGTGTCTACAATTCTAGATGGACAAAAATGGGAGTTCGTGCATTGTAGCGTTCCTTAAGAGAGTTTTAGGTCCAGCAGAGCACTTTCATTGGCTGAAAATCTGAAATACATACACAATGTACCGCTATTGGCTGAAATGATGATGATGATGACTTACGTTGTACATTGAGGAACACGACCTCCTCCCGGAATCCGTAGTGGTTCTCCGCTCGGATGATGTACTCGCCGCGGTCTTCCAGCTTCGCGCGGTTGATAATGAAGTAGTAATCATCGCCCGCGTATCTGTTTGAACGAATATAGTGTCAGTAATCTTTTAGCTATGTAGATTTATGAATTGTTTTATTACTTTCTGTGAAAGTAATTGATAGCTTTTTAGGAATTCATATGCCCAAAAAATTTGAACCCTTGGTTCATATCACAGTCATAAATGAGTAGTCGTTTATGTACGAGTATAAGGCAAACAACATTTTTTTTAATAGCCATATCTTGGGGATCTTTTACGCTAACGAAGTAACTCTTTCACTAATGTTTCCACATATTATTGAAATATCAGAACAGTAAGACTGAGTTGCATCACCTAACTTTAACAGTAAATGTAACATTAACTGGAGTTTTTTGTTTGGAGTTTGACAGACTTTTGACGTTTGCCAAAGTAAAAGTAAGATGGTGCAACCCAGCCTAAGACATATTCTAAAACAAGTTATTAGTTGAGATTTTTGAGATCAAGTTGTAGATTCTGGTGATACCTACAGGATTTGCAGTGATAGGAAAGAGGTAACTTTTGAAAAGTCCTTCTATGTGACGTCGAATGTTGTTATGCCTATTTAACCTTACCTCTTCATGAACTTGACGGACTGCCTGAGCTCGTGGTTGTTGCGTGACCACGTGACGGTGGGCGTGGCGCAGGCGATGATGCGGCAGTACAGTTTTACTGACTGGCCCTCGTAGCAGAAGGCCGAGTAGCGACCACGTGACAGAAGGGCGTGGCTACAAGCTTAACCGACTGGGTCTCGTAGCAGAACATTTCGAGGGATCACGTGACAGAGGGCGTGGCTACAGTTTGACGGACTAGTCTCGTAGCAGAACGCACGTCGTCGCTACGAGGCGACAGATACTACAGTATCAGTCGTGCGTGTCTCGCAAGTGTTACCTCTTCATGACGGATAGACCCTCGTAGCAGAACGTATCGTAGCAACCACGCGACAGAGGGCGCTACAGCTGACCGACTGGGCCTCGTAGCGATCATTCGACAAAGCGCGTGACTACAACTTGCTCGACTGGCCCTCGTAGCAGAAGGCCTCGTAGCGCTCACGTAACAGAGGGCGTGGCTACAGGTGACCGACTGGGCCTCGTAGCGATCATTCGACAAAGCGCGTGACTACAACTTGCTAGACTGGCCCTCGTAGCAGGCCTTGTAGCGATCACGTGACAGAGGGCGTGGCTACAGCTTGACTGGCTCTCGTAGCAAAACGCACGTTGTCCCTACGAGACGACAGAGAGAGACAGCAACAAAGACGTTACCTCTTCATGAATTTGACGGACTGGCGCAACTCGTAGTTGATGCGCGACCCACAAATGACAGGGCCCACTAGAAGACTGAAGTTCCTCTTATCCAGGCTAAGAAGAATGAGAGGCGAAGCACAGGATCCTAATAGGGCACTAAGTTAAGGCGAGGTTTCGTATAAGATAAGGTACCTCTTCATGAACTTGACGGACTGCCTGAGCTCGTGGTTGTTGCGCGACCACGTGACGGTGGGCGTGGCGCAGGCGATGATGCGGCAGTACAGCTTCACGGACTGGCCCTCGTAGCAGAAGGCCTCGTAGCGACCACGTGACAGAAGGGCGTGGCTCCAAGCTTAACCGACTGGGCCTCGTAGCAGAAGGCCTCGTAGTGATCACGTGACATGGGGCGTGGGGCGTGGCTACAGTTTGATAGACTAATCTCGTAGCAGACGGCATGTGGTCGCTACGAATCGACAGAAAGAGACTACAACAACAAACGTGCGGTTCTCGCAAGAGTTACTGGCCCTCATAGCAGAACGTATCGTAGCAACCACGCGACAGAGGGCGCGGCTAAAGCTGACCGACTGGGCCTTGTAGCGATCATTCGACAAAGCGCGTGACTACAACTTGATCGATTGGCCCTCGTAGCAGAAGGCCTCGTAGCGATCACGTGATAAAGGGCGTGGCTACAGCTTGACTGGCTCTCGTAGCAAAACGCACGTTGTCCCTACGAGACGACAGAGAGAGACAGCAACAAAGACGTTACCTCTTCATGAACTTGACGGACTGGCGCAACTCGTAGTTGATGCGCGACCCACTAATGACAGGGCCAATTGAAGACTGAAGTTCCTCTTATCCAGGCTATGAAGAATGAGAGGCGAAGCACAGGATCCTAATAGGGCACTAAGTTAAGGCGGGGTTTCGTATAAGATAAGGTACCTCTTCATGAACTTGACGGACTGCCTGAGCTCGTGGTTGTTGCGTGACCACGTGACGGTGGGCGTGGCGCAGGCGATGATGCGGCAGTACAGTTTTACTGACTGGCCCTCGTAGCAGAAGGCCGATTGCGGCTTGATCACGAACCGCGGCGCCGCTTGCCGCCGGTCTGTTGATATAAACGATGTTATGATGGGGAAAAATAAAATATTAAGACTGTAAATTGCATTGCTTTTAGCTTTGATAAGACCGCTCGAAATATGGCACTCAACTGAAAAGTTTCTTGTGGTATTGGAGTAGTGCGGGATGGAAAACATGATTTTATAAGATTTGATAGGGCTTGAAAGAGCTTACTGTCTTTGTCTATACATGTCAGATTTGAATTGGATGATAAACATTTCTACCACACAATCTTTGATTGCACTTCAACTGTGTATTTTGGCAAAATGCTATGCTTTTTCAAGCAGAATTTAAAAAAAACAGGGTATTACGTCATCATAGATTTAGTCAATCCGCACTGTTTTCAATAACAAAGCAATTAGCAGTAGACAGTGATTCTTACTTTGAACCTTATTTACAGTGAGAGTTCCAGAATAAACTTAAGTGTAATCAACTCACCGAACTGTCCGTCGTAGATCTTCCATTTCTCGATGAGCAGTTTGCGCAGCGAACTGTACTCGCTCAACCTGCCGATCGGCAGCGCGAATGACGACCAGTTCTAAAAAAAAATGGTATTTTAGTATCGCTGCTCATTAAATTAGGTATAGTTCCAAAATACTGAACTGTCCTATGCATGACATTGACAGTGGGGCGCCACCGGATAATATATACCGGATCGCTGGTTTCGATTTTTGCCATGTTGGAAACCATTTAGTTGAACGATGGTAGCGCCCCCCTGTCATTGAGTTTGGTGGGACAGTTCAGCGTGGGTCATCTATACCTGATTTTAAAAACGGAACACATGTCATCGATTGGACTTAAGATTATTTGGAGCAATGTTGAAATATTATTGATCTTATGGCCAATGGGTCCCTGTCTAGTGTAGGTTCAAAAATAATGGTGAATCGAAAGTGAAACGCTATAACAGGTCGATGCGCGCTTAAGGCCTGCTATTTCGTTGGAAAGGGCTAAATATATCAGCGCCGTGTCTACGCGATTGACACGACTAATGCCGAGTTGAGGACCTTTTTGACACACTGTCTTTTGCATACGTTTTCTAAAAAAATATCCTTGTAACTCACCTCGTATCTGTCCCGTAGCCTGTTGCGCAGCGCCTCGTATCTCCTGGCTTCGATGGTGGCGGTTCTGGCGGCAGCCGCGTCTCCGGCTAACCACTTGTGCATTAGACACTCGTGCGCTGTCATACGTTTCCTGGGGGTGACAAGTGGGAATAAGTAATAGAACAATATGGAGGTATGTCAGGGCCTACGACTAATCGTTATTTCAAACCAAAAGTCATTAACTGCTGGACAAAGGCCTCCTCTAACGCACAAAGACATAAAACTTTCCAAAAATAATGGGCCTGCCAACACCCAGGCACTTTTCTAGACCATCATCTGATCTTCAGTCTACCGAGTGTTCAGCCTGCCTGCAATAATAAGTCTTCAGGAGTATGGTAGCCAGTCGAGAAGTTTTCTGCTCCAAAGGCATAAGTTCCACGAGCTATGTGACTTGCCCACTTCTACTTGTTTTAGTAATTTTGAGGGCTACGTCAGTTACTTTAGTTCTGACGGCTCTTTTCATTTCTGATTACGTAGGCAGGTCGACTATATCTAATAAACAAATACATAGATGAATCTACATGCATAATAATACACAACGTCATAAATACAAAAGGCAAACTTTACTTGACAAAAGTCTGTAACTTCTATTTCATCTTTGACGATTATCTATCCACTACAAGCAACTTGTACATCATCCCTTTATATCGTGATTGTCACAAATATCTTAATGACTCTAGTATTATCAAAACAGTACTCACTCCTTGTTCTTAACCAGCAGCCGCCTGATGAAGTCCTTGGCGTCATCAGACACATGCTGGAAGGCTTCCTCGTCGAACTCCCAGTCACAGGCTTTCACGTTCTTGAGGGTTTCGATGTCGTTGTTACCCGCGAACGGTGATAGGCCGGAGAGGCTGCGGATATACATAGACGTAAGTATATATTTATTGTAAAATTTAAATAATTTATTTGGAAATAGGGGTAAGTAAATATAATGTGACGTAAGTGCAGACATATTTAGCTAAAGGTCATGAATTATACCATAATGTCATCGTAATTTCAGGTCAAAATAGCGATATAAAAATCTTGGTGAATTTTGGAAACTATTACCCTTCGAACGATTTTCGAACACAGGAGTGTCTAATACAGGTAGTAGGGAAAATCTTATTCAGGGGGAAGCCAAATTATTTTTGGCTGGTTTTAGTGTCACGCGGACCGTCCGGTGCGGACCCGCTCCGCACGGCCAATCTGTATGAACTTCTAGGGAGCGTTTTAGAGTAATGCGGTCCGGAGGAACCGCTCCGCTCCTAAGCAGTTCATACAGATCGGCTGTGCGGAGCGATCCGCACTGACAGTCCGCGTGACACTAAACCCAGCCTTAGTAGAACGGTTGTGATCACGTTGACGCGTAGTACTTACTACCCCATTGTAATACTACTTAGTAAGATAAGTAACTTCTATATTTATTAATTTACTTACAGCACGTATGATAGAACTCCCACGGCCCACATGTCTGTGTAGAATCCGACCGGTTCGCGCTCCACGATCTCTGGCGCGGCGAACTCGGCTGTACCGGTGGAGATCTTGACTACCTCATTGGGATCCAGCTTCGTGGCCAGGCCGAAGTCGATGATCTGTGAAGGACATTTAGTTCCAAAATACTGAACTGTCCTATCCATGACATTGATAGTGGGGCGCCACCGTCAATACCGAATCGCTGGTTCCGATTTTTGCCATGTTGGAAACCATATAGTTGAACGATGGTAGCGCCCTCCTGTCATTGAGTTTGGTGGGACAGTTCAGCGTGGGTCATCTATAGTGGATTAGGATTTGATCGTGGTCTATTTACGTCACTTTTTACTAAATCACGGAGATCTCGTTCGCATCATCTTTAATTTTAGTCGCAACTTCTGAGTAATCTAAAACAAGAAGTCTGCTTGTGACCACGGCTGCAGCATCGCAGCCGAACGTCAAGTCGTGAGTACATAATGTAACTCATTAATAAACGTCGCGTTAAGACCCATGTCTTACTATTTTAGTTGAAATGGAACGCTAAAGTTTAAAATTCTGAGTAATCTATCATTACGAGTTTTTTTTATGTGATAAGAGGCAAACGAGCGAGTTTATTTAAGACTGTACGTTAAAACTTATGCGGGTATCCGGCGCGTGCGGCACTGCAAGTACCAGTCTCATACCAAAATTTATAGGGAAGAAAACTCAAAGAGACGAATAAAAGTTGGCAGGTTATGTATTTGCTCACACGCAGTACATGGCAGGGTTGGACACTTCCTTGCAAATGACATTTACGTAAAAATATGCCCACCCGTCACGCGTGTGGAAACTCATCTCACGAGTATGCGCCACTCTGCGCTGTTCTTACTATTTTTCGATATAGAAACGCGTGCGTTTTTAATGCAGGCCCTAACCGCGCATGTTAAAGTCATAATGAGGCTGAAGAAAAGTGTATTTTATTAGTTTTCCACCGTATCCTCACTGCGTAAAGTTCAAATTGATGTTGGCTCTATTCCACGACTGAATCTTGGAAAATCTTGACGTCAGACTCACCTTGACATCAGTGCCGCTGCGTGTCTGGCACATGACGTTCTCGGGCTTGAGATCCAAGTGAATGATGTTCTGTTCGTGCATATGCCTGACACCTTCGCATATCTGCCGCATGTAGTGGGCCGCTTCGGCCTCGCTCATGTTGTAACCAGGTTCTGTAATGCGCTCGAATAGCTCGCCTCCGGACAAGCTGTGGAAGGAAGGATTTATTTAGATTTACTACTTTATTACTCTACTAACATAGTCTCTAAGATCAAATTGTTGCTAACCAAACTATGGACTGCTTTTGTCTGATAATAAAATGATTTTTTTTTACTACGATAGAACTAGTGTTCATTTTGTACTTAGGGCAGTCCTAAGATGCTAGAGATCTAAGAAAGTCACAGAGATATTCGTTTCAGCCAAATGACGTCCACTGATTGCTGCCTCCCCCAATTAAACAATCATTTGGGATATATCATTCTCCAAAAATAAAATACATTCTAAGTAAAAAAAAAACATTACAATTTAGGTCATCACAGCGAAATTTGTAAACCAGCTCTAAAACGTATTTCTTGTAAATTGGCTGAGACGACATTTTATCGCCAATTTTTGAAATGGCGATAAAATGGCAACCCACAATTTTACACAAGATCAGGTATTTAGAATTAAGACTAGTAAGAGTTCTTTAACAGTTCGACATCAGAAATCACTTTAAAAAGGACAGCAAAAACTACAAAATATACTCACAACTCGAATATCAGCACCATCTCATCGTCATCCTCAAACGCATCATGAAGATTAATCAGTTTCCTATGGTGCAGCTGGTTCATTATGTCTATCTCTTTCTTGATGAGCTCCTTCTCCATCGCACCAGTGACCGGGATGAATTTAGCGGCGAAGTAGTTGCCGGTGGCCCTCTCGCGGCATCGGTGGACAACGCCGAACGCGCCTGTGCCTACAACAGTGCAACGCACCTCATGCATCTGAGTTTTGGGACTTTTTAATGGGTGATTGGTAGAGATGAGACGTATTTACTAGAACAGATCCACACACTAGGTATTTTACAGTACTAGGCGGCACCTATTCCAATTTTTTAAATACTTGATCCACCTAGTATTTTATAAATTACACGATTTCCGACCCTATCATTAAAGTAATAGAGGTTATCCTAAAAAAGGTAGCCCTTTAGGGCACTTTATATGTCTCCTTATCTTTTGAGCCCTACCAGTTACACAATTTGAACCATAAATGTTTTGTGTCTACTGATATTTTGGTGAATTAGTTGACTTTTAAGATAAAATATCTAATAAAATTTGATGATGATTGTACTTACAAATTTAGGCAAATTCAATGTAGGTAAAGAATCTTTGTGCAGTTTTCTCTGTTTCGTAGAATTGGCATTGTAGCATTCTTCCGCAAAATGAATGCTACAAATGCAGTGGTTTTTAGTTGGAATCCACGTATTTTGTCTTCTGACTGCCTCTATCCACTTTCTCCTTCTATTTGGATCCACTGGAAATCTTAAATTAATTTGAATAATTTCAGTTTCAGTTTGTTTGGTATATCGATAAACTTATCGACATTTTTCAAGCCCTTTACGTCATAAAAAATGAGATGTGAATGAATGAATGAAACCTATAATCCAACCAAATTAAATATGCTACATGTTTTAAGCATTTACATGTACAATGAGTACTTTTTAAAATGACGTAATCATATTTTGTTTACATATCAAATTTTATTTATTTTACGAAAAAATAGCTACTATAATAGATTTAAAATGTACTTACGCGTGATAAGAAACATTTCTTGTGTGACCGGAATAATTTTTGCAATAAAGTACGGCGCATTTACCCATTTTTCGTGATATTTTTACTCTTCGAGAGCTCGCGTCATACTGACAAAGTGACAACCTGACAACATTTACCATGGCTAATTTAGCCTTGGTAAGTGCTAGCGGGGTAAAGACGAAAACGTCACTCGTTACGCGTCCAGTGGTTTATTCGTCCAAGTCTCGGACGGACAATGAATAAAATATTAATATCTCCAATGATGTTGAGGTAAGCCATCAATAATGCATAAAGTAAGGAGTTTTAAAACTACATAATAATACTGTAATGAACATGCATTCTAATATTGTAAATTTAAAAGGACCTAAAAATTCCGACCGCCTAGAGAAAATCCGCAAGCAACTTCGTGAGTTTTAGTTTATTTAATATTTACATGCTTATTTAAATTATTGTAGTTATATTCTGTACTTTATAATTATGAAGTGTGCACGTTTACTTTTTCAACATTACATTTCATACATTTATTAGGATGAGTAATACTTATCATGCAATACGATCTATGAATAAGCACTGAGTAAATATTTTGTGTATAATAAATAAGCTGAGATCTTTTTAATTGTATTATTAAGTCTTAAAATCATATTAAAATGTATTACCAGACAGATGTCATTTATAAAATCTGATCTAGCAGGGATCTAGATATGTTTTCTTTGTGAAACACCGCCTATAATACACAGGCGCGTGTGGATTTGCTTATGGCATCAAGTAGTCTTACGCCCGTATTCACAAACATTACTATGAGGGCTCACAGTGTGCGTGGACGCACAGGGTCACACACGAACCAACAACACTGTGCGTTCGATGCATAGCGTTGCTGCTTCACTTTTACAAGTATCATAAGGACGACGCCGCGAACCGCCAGTCTGCTTGTGACCACGGCTGCAGCATCGCAGCCGAAACGTCAAGCCGTGAGTACATAATGTTACTCATTAATAAACATCGCATAAAGACCCGTGTCTTACTATTTTTACAAGTATCGTTTGTGAATACGGGCACAGAATAATAATAAGTACTACGTACAGAAGTTTTACTTCGCGAAGGTATTTAAAAAATGTATGCTCAATGTCATTAACAATATGGTGTAATTTAGCTTGTCTCAAGAGTCAAGCAAGTTTGTCAGAAGTTTTGTTGACAAACGTCAGTGATCGGTACTGCGCCGAAGCTATAGGGCTGACTTCGGTAAAATGATGTGACGTGAGGTGCCAATCTGCAGAAAATGGCGGAGGAAATACATGATTTAGCATGAATTATCATGAATAATATTAACACCTTCGCTGCCAGCCTAAAAATGGCACTGTTCCGTTCGGGCCATGGGGGACAATGATGGGCGACACTTTAACTTTCCGTTCGGGCCGCGTCGGACAATGATGACCGCGAGTCAGACCTATGTTTAAACCTCTGTATTGAGCCGATGGACAGCATTTCTTCAATAATTCTCATATAAGCTGACCCGCGCGGCTCCCAAGATTAGTGTACGTCACTTGGTTCTCAGGTAAAGCTCGGACTTAGAAAAAAAAATGTGGATAACGGTAGCGCAATGAAACATGGTAATTATACAATGCATTTTTGCAAATTTATCAACTTTTTAGCAAGATAATAACGGTTTATTAATTAAAACATATCGTTTACTTATTTTATATAATTTTTGTGTCCAAAATTTTTGACTTTATCGATCGATATCTCGATAACGATGCATGATACGCTAAAAATGGTTCGGGCGTTATTGTAGAGCACAAAGAAAGCTACAAAAAGTGTCCTACAAAAATTTTCGAATCTCATCGGATAGCCGAGTTATTGCCGAAAAACAAATTTTAAGCGTTTTCCAAGATGGCGGCGAAAGCTCCTAGGAAAGCTTGGTCGACAATCTCAAGTTAAGCTTTTCTAGGTATCCCCTACAACATATTAAAAAATTAGAAGCGCAAATTCATTTTCTTTTATTTGCCTTTTTTTCGGACGAAATGACTGGACTATATCAAAAACCTACCAATGTACAACTCTTTATTTTTTGGTTGTTCTCCTTTTTTTTTTTGGATGCGAGCGGGGATGGTCGACAACATGACCGCGCGGCCCTACGGAACGGATTTTCGAATTTTCGCTCGCTGGGGCCATGGGGGTTAATGATGTCCGACGCTTAATATATCGATGTAAAGACTCAAAAACAACTATATGTTAATAAAATCCTTTATTTATGTTTATAATGTAACGATTTAACAAAAAAAAACAATCGACGAAAATTGAAAAAAAATGAAATTTTTACTTGGCCTGGTAGGAAAGTGCAGTGTCGGACAACATTGACCGCGTTGGCGTTCAATGTGTTAANTAGCATGAATTATCATGAATAATATTAACTACTTATTTACCTCTCAGTGTCTTGAGGCAACTTAAAAAAGTACATTCTGTGTTTTTATTATTATTTAGGCAGTTAAATACTGCACAGTATTTAGTACACCATTTTCTTTATTTTTTTCCATCATACACAAGAATACGCGTGCGTGAGTCAATGTTCGCTCGTGAGGCCTTGTCGAATAGTACTCTTGTAGGGGGCAATCGTGCGTGTTTTGTTTTCGATGTAAACTCGCGGAGATGAACAGGCCTGATACGGGTGCTAATCCGGCAAAGCTTATCTACGCAAGTTCTATTCTACAAAACTACAGAACACAACAAAATAGCAACTCACCAATCTCCTCCAGTATGTCGTATCTGTCGTACACAGAGCAGGTGTTGATGTCGACGGGCTGCGGCACGTACTTGCTGTAGATGTCGCAGACATAACTGTCGTAGTCCTTCACTGGTCCGTGGTCCGCGTTCGTGCGTATACGCTTGCCGGTTTCATCCACTGCGGAGGAAAGGTTAGGGTCAAGTATGGATAAAAGGTATGGGTTACTATGCCATGTGAGGTTTATGATGTAAAGGCCACGTTTTGCAAATGGCTTAGCAATGAGGCCATGGTAGTATAATACTGCTGACCAATTTCGGAGTCTAACGGATATCAATGAAGGTCGCCGAAAATACCTGAATGCAGGCAGCGCAGGACCGATCGTTGTCGAATTTCTTGAGGAAAGTCTTTGCCCATCAACGTCCTTTTGTTGAAAGGAACGGACGAGCTTTTACATTTTTCAGTTCAATTTGACTTCTAGCTAGTTCTAGAGCTTCACAATAATATAGCCATACTTCTTTCTCACTCCATTTTACAAAAATGTATACGCCTCTACAATCAACGTGGACACCTCAACGTGATTACAATCGCTCTGCCAAGATTTTTTATTTATCCCTTTGCACCACCGGCCTGCACCACTGGTGGTGCAAAGGGTATTTTTAAATCCCTCTTGCACCACCAACAAATAGTGCTGTGCTACCATCGACTGTAAAACTAGTAGTAAACTGTAAAATACTTAATAATTTAATTGTTATAAATAAATCAAAACCTACCTAAAAGTTTTAATTTGTGTGTGTGTAAGTGCCTATAAACATTTCACTTCAGACCCACGATACCCCGGGCCTACATCCTACATACAACGAATAAAGTACCAGGGCAACATAACCATAAAGGAGCTATTTTATGATACATGTTTATTTCTCGGGTCAACCAAGAAGAATTTGATACAGCTCCTTTATGATTATGTTGCCCTGGTACTTAAGGAATTATTCGTTATATGTAGGTATGAATGGTTGTTATTAATTTTTATGTTATGTTGTCAAATCTGTCCAGTAGTTTCGGAGCCTATTACAAACAAACAATCAAATCTTTCCTCTTTATAATATTAATATTATATGATTATAGATAATCGTTTTACAGTTAATGGTAGGGCGGCACTATTGGTGGTGTAAAAGGGATTAAAAAATACCCTTTGCACCACCAGTGGTGCAGGCCGGTGGTGCAAAGGGTACAAAAGGAATTTATTTTGACTTTGCAGATAGCCGTAAGCAGCTTTTCCAGCTTCACCGGGCCAATAGATGAGCGTAGATGGCTCTCAAGCTAAGCGAAACGACTGAGAAGTACCGTAACAGCGTATTACACTTGAAAATTTCGACAGGTTCATTCAGTGTCTAAGTAGCTCAGTTGAAAGAGCAGTCGCCCGGCAAGCGAAAGGTCGTGGGTTCGATTCCCGCCATAGGCAGTTCGATATTTACGTTGGTTTATTTAAAAAGAAACTTGTACGTAGTCTTCTCAACTCACCAGGATATTCCTTCTTCTTGAACTCCTTCTTGACGACGGCCTTGGTCTGCACCAGTGACGTGGTGTCGCTAGGTTCCGACCGTCCGTAGATGTTCTCTGCGTAGACGCGGAACTCGTACTGTTTGCCGGGCACCAGACCAGTAATGGCCATGGTGGTAAACCTGGGGGATAAGGTAAAGTTTTTTAGGTTGTTCTAAATACATTTTCACATATCCGCGTCAGTCCATAAAGTTTATATACCTAGCGGAATAGTGCAACAAATAACTGAGCGAGCGAGATACTACTAGCAGCAACACTGTGCGATAAAAAGAGATGCGTGATGCCGTCGCCGTCACGTGAAACAGAACAGTTCAGAGGCACTTAGTGGCACGCTGAAAATTTGATCGTGAGTGAAGATTTTACGTGAGTGAAGTCGTGGATATTTATGAGAAATAGTCTTCAGAAACGTAGTGACTGGTTCAGTGATTGATTTATTGTACAAAACAGTGGAATAATCTTGATATTGACACACAAGTATCATCCAAAATTGGTTTCGTTTGACAGCTCGTGGTTGTTGCACTATTCTAAAGGAATACTAACTTTCTGCGACAATCACATCATAGTAGTTTTAACCGCCCCTGTGGTGTAGTGGTAAGACCACATGCTTTAGACCCAGAGACGGGACCGTTCGATTCTCAGTCAGGGTAGATTTCGACGGTTTAGTTGGTGGTGCTAGCTACCACCACCTTACATAAGTCTGTAGCCATAACAATATTTTTGTGTTCTGGCAGTTAGTGATAAGATAGCCAGTTCCTCTGTGGTTGAGGATTTCGGGTGAAACTTGCTTCCACCTTCAGCCTCTTTCCATCAGGAGAGATGCAGGCCAAGAGCTTCCTCGTTGTGGAAAAAAAATAATAAAATGTCTAACCTGGTGTTGCCGACCCGGATCCAGCTGGTCATCGGGTGCTCTCGCTTCTCCACCAGATAGTTGGTGATGTCGGAGCCACCGTCCCAGACTGGCGCCTTCCAGCTGAGAGCCAGCGAGTCCACGCCGATGTTGTCCACCGCTGGGAACCGTGGTGGGTCTGGGCGATCTGCGGGTAGATGGAAGAATGTGGTGATAAGTTGAAACACAGGAATAAGAAGGAAAGAAAAATAATTTGGTTCATTGTTTAGTAAATAATTAAATTAGCTGTTTGAACCAAAATGGCAACCATTTAGAACGTGTCATGGGATAGGGAAGAACCCAGAACTATAACGCTGGTATTTTGTGGAAGCCACAGTTGCAGAGTATCACTCCAGCGCCAGTGAATCCAGATAATAAAAAAAATGCTGCATCTATGCATTGTTTGCACAAATATCTTGGGAGTCAAAAAAACAATATGTCCGACACATAATTTAAAATAAGTGTCAAATCTTGCTTTCCGAATTTCAAACTACATGTGGTCAAATTAGATTAAAGAGATGTCTGAAGGAAGGATAAGCGAAAGTAAATCTCATGACATACCAAGCCAGAAATAGATCTGAAAATATGTCAATAAATGTGTCAAAAAAACTTACCGCTGATCTCAATATTGATGATGGCCGAGTCTTGTCCCAGTTCATTCTCAGCCGTGATCCTGTACGGTCCTGAGTCCAGTTTGCTGGCGTCTCTGATGGTCAGGATCGCGTGGCGTTCTGGAATAAAATATTGAAAAATAAGTATAATTTATTGGGGAAACTTAAGCGATAAATGTATGCTAGTTTGACGACTGCCTTCACGGGACTTCACATATCTACATATCTCGCTCTTATTCAATTAAATCAACAGCTTGGTGACTAATATTGAAGTTCAGCACACCCTCTGTTACAAAAGTATTTAATCACACCAAAGTTTTTGGTTTTAGTTTTCACTCGTTTTTACATAGTCCACTAACGACACCACTTTTTCCATGGATGTCGTAAGAGGCGACAAGGGGTAAATATGCAAACATCAGACCTCCCAAAGCAACCAAACTAGAGATCGTGCTCCGTGGGCCAAATGACCTAACGACGATGATACACCGGTCTAGTATTGTATCACCACTAGTCTATGGGCGACTCACCTTTCCTCTCCACGTGGTAGTGTAGACCAGACTCTATGGTCTCTCCCTCGCGCACCCACGTGATCTTGGGCACCGGGTGTCCCGTGAAGGGGATCTTGACGACCACATTCTCCCTTGTTGTTGCCAACACACTACACGCTAGTCTATGGTCGACTCACCTTTCCTCTCCACGTGGTAGTGCAGACCAGACTCTATGGTCTCTCCCTCGCGCACCCACGTGATCTTGGGCACCGGGTGTCCCGTGAAGGGATCTTGACGACCACATTCTCCCTTGTCGTTGTCAACACATCACTCGCCAGTCTATGGTCGACTCACCTTTCCTCTCCACGTGGTAGTGTAGTCCAGACTCTATGGTCTCTCCCTCGCGCACCCACGTGATCTTGGGCACCGGGTGTCCCGTGAAGGGGATCTTGACGACCACATTCTCGCCCTTGTCGAAGTATGCAGTGTCGCGGAAGCGTGGTGGCACGTTCAGTTTCGGCGCGGCTGTGGAAGACAAACATTTTTAATTAAATTCATTTGCATAAATAGCTCCACGGTATAATAAGATATGGTAGACGTTGGAACTTTTGCAGTAAAGAGGTAAACTTTGAATTTTTGTAAGATGTCCAGAGGTAGAGACTTGGAACCTCATGACTACAAAGAGGTAAACTTAGAAGCTGAAAAGAAGTAGACATGGAACTTTTAGAAGCTGACAGATATACTCATTTACAATAAGCAAGCCAACACGCGTGATCTTGATGAACGCGCGGCGTACGTTTACATACTCTACTTGAAACTGTTGACAAGCACTTGCCTTAAAATTTCGTAAAGGTAAGTGTAACGAAAAGCACACTTAGAGTTTCTTGCAACTGACAGCGGATTTGGAACTGTTTGAATTCGCCAAGGGGTAGTCAAGGAAACTTGGCTGGACTTCTAGACTAGATTTAAAGGTATGAATTACTTGACTTATGGTCCTATGTCCCCTAGATGAGGCAGAGGGCTTCCACAACAGTCCTCCATCTCGTTCGGTCTTGAGCTTAAAGGTATACTCACTCATAATAAGCAGTTCAGCACGTGTGCTCTTGACTCCGGCGCGGTTGACGGCGCGGCAGACGTATTCATCAGCATCTTCACCGAACACGTCCACAACTGTCAAGAAGTGGTTGTCTCCCTCGCTCCAGATACGGTGGCGCGGGCCGTTGGTTATCTCCCTTGCACCTGAGGGTTAGAAAGGTTTGTAGATCATATTTAAGGTAGTACTGGCTTCTAAAGTGAATACAACAATAAGAAAGATGTTTTTCTTTATGCATTGAAAATAGTGCTGGCCTCGGAAGCTACTAGTCCTACGTGGAAAATGTTGTTTATCCTCTGAATTCTTAAAAATTGTAAATGATCTTTGAAAAAATGTACGTTTGACCTATTCGACAAATAATCGTGAGCATTCTTCTCTTGGCTTGTTATGAATGGATTTTATACAGCACTTTTACTTGCAAACTTTATGTTTTATTCACAAGATAACACAAAAAACTTGTCAAAAGTATTTAGTCAACAGCCAATATTTCTATTGCATTTAAGATAAGATAATACCTTGTTGTCTTTTCTGTATTTATGTAAGTTTTACAGTTTCAAGATTTATCAACATTTTACGGACTTGAAAAGTGAAAATCATGTTGCTATACAATATAAAAGGCGACAGAGATACTCACCCTTGTACCACGTGATGGTAGGCTTCGGCTGACCAGTGATGGTACACTGGAACTTGGCGTTGTGGTACTGGATGCAGTTTGCGTTCTTCAGTGGCTTCACGATCTCTGGCGGCGTGGCAGCTGTAAACAAGTAAATATTTATAGTAAATACTAGAGCCCGTTGGAAATTATGAAAATGATTATGCTGTCATCATAGCAAAGTTTTTACTTTAAATTAACCAAACGCAAGTTTGATTTTCTACACAACAAAATAGTCTAACTCAGAACTGATGGCCTCGAAGTTCTCGAAAGACGACCATGGGCCAGAAGACGTAGTGTAGGCAGGCTTCCTACTAGGTGGACCGACTATCCGGTGAAGGTCACAGGAAGCATCTGCTTGCAGCGCAGGACTGATCTTTGTGGAAATCCCCCAGGGAGGTCTTTATCCAGCAGTGGACCTCCTGTGGCTGAAATGATGATGCCGATAACTTACTTTTTGAGTCGACGACTTTGAGTGCTAGACGAGGTTAGACCGGCCTCGTTCTGGAGTGTCTAGTACGACGGTACTTGATGGTTGGTCTACATCTATAGTGATCATACATCTACCGGCTTCTTTCTGGGCGGTGACGAGTCTCATACGACTACCCTCGATGGTGGATCTACATCTGTGTAGTGATCATACATCTTTCCACTGTCACTATGTTCAGCAGTGGATGTCCTGTGGCTGAAATGACGATGCAGCTGATGACTCACCCTTCGAGTCGACGACTTTTGAGTGCCAAGGGAGGACAATCCGGCTTCTTTCTGGGCGGTGTCGTGTATAGTACAACGACACTCGTCATCAATAGATGACAAGACACTCACCCTTGGGGTCAACGACCTTGACCTGCTGGCTGGCGGTGCTGGGCTGAAATAATGATGCTGATGACACATCCCTAGGGTTGACGACTTTTGATTGCTAGGGGTGGACACTGGACAGGCCAGCTTCTTTCTGGGCGGTGTCGTGTCTCGTACAATGGTCCTTGGTGGTTGGTCGACTTCTACAGTGATCATCAGACACTCACCCTTGGGGTCGACGACCTTGACCTGCTGGCTGGCAGTACTAGGCGGGGACAGGCCGGCCTCGTTCTGACCGACTATCTGGTGCAGGTCACGGGAAGTATCTGGATGCAGCGCAGGACTGGTATTTGTGGAAATCCTTAGGGGAGACCTTTATCCAGCAGTAGATATCCTGTGACTCAAATCATGTGACTGCTGTGACTCAAATCATGTGACTAATGCCCGTTTTCACCATCAATCCCTAATTTTTTAGTGATCCCTATGAAATCAAAATACCTTAGGGGTCACTTAAAAATTAGGGATTGATGGTGAAAACTGGCATAAGTCACTCAATCACTAGACTGCTGTGTGTGTGCTGATGACTTATTATTGAGGTCCACGATTTGCCAGTGCTAGGCGAGGGCGAGGTCAGGCCGGCTTCTTTCTGGGCGGTGTCGTGTCTCGTACAATGGTCCTTGATGGTTGGTCGACTTCTACAGTGATCATCAGACACTCACCCTTGGGGTCGACGACCTTGACCTGCTGGCTGGCGGTACTAGGCGGGGACAGGCCGGCCTCGTTCTGTGCGGTGACGCGGAACTCGTACTGGCGGCCCTCGATCAGGTTGGCACAGTTCAGCATGTTGGGCAGGCAGAGCACAGCGTTCACGCGTTGCCACGTGCTATGTCTGACCAAGAACTGATGGCCATTGGGGCAGAAAAGTTCTCGAAAGACGACCATGGGCCAGAAGACGTAGTATAAGCAGGCCTCCTACTAGGTGGACCGACTATCCGTTGAAGGTCACGGGAAGCTTCTGGATGCAGCGATGGACTATTCTTTGTGGAAATCCTTGTGGGGGGTCATTGTCCAGCAGCGGACGTCCTGTGGCTGAAATAACGATGCAGCTGTAGTCTCGTCCTTCGAGTCGACGACTTTTCAGTGCTAGGGGAGGACATGCCGGCTACTTTCAGGGCGGCGATGTGTCTAGTACAACAACACTCGACATCTATAGACGACAAGACACTCACCCTTGGGGGCGACGACCTTGACCTGCTGGCTGGCGGTGCTAGGCTGAAATAATGATGCTGATGACACATCCCTAGGGTTGACGACTTTTGAGTGCTAGTGGTGGACACTGGACAGGCCGGCTTCATTCTGGGTCATATCGCGTCTCGTACAATGGTCCTTGATGGTTGGTCGACTTCTACAGTGATCATCAGACACTCACCCTTGGGGTCGACGACCTTGACCTGCTGGCTGGCGGTACTAGGCGGGGACAGGCCGGCCTCGTTCTGTGCGGTGACGCGGAACTCGTACTGGCGGCCCTCGATCAGGTTGGCACAGTTCAGCATGTTGGGCAGGCAGAGCACAGCGTTCACGCGCTGCCACGTGCTATATCTAGCCCAGAACTGATGGCCATTGGGGCAGAAAAATTCTTGAGTGACGACCACGGGACAGTAGACGTAGTGTGGACAGACTTCCCACTAGGTAGACCAACGAACTGGTGAACGTCACGGGAAGCATCTGGATGCAGCGCAGGACTGGTCTTTGTGAAAATCCTTAGGGGAGACCTTTATCCAGCAGTGGATGTCCTGTGACTCAAATCATGTGACTAATGCCCGTTTTCACCATCAATCCCTAATTTTTTAGTGATCCCTATGAAATCAAAATTTACTGTTATGTGTTACCTTAGGGGTCACTTAAAAATTAGGGATTGATGGTGAAAACTGGCATAAGTCACTCAATCACTAGACTGCTGTGTGTGTGCTGATGACTTATTATTGAGGTTCACGATTTTCGAGTGCTAGGCGAGGACAGGCCGGCTTCGTTCTGGGTCATGTCGCGTCTCGTACAATGGTCCTTGGTGGTTGGTCGACTTCTACAGTGATCATCAGACACTCACCCTTGGGGTCGACGACCTTGACCTGCTGGCTGGCGGTACTAGGCGGGGACAGGCCGGCCTCGTTCTGACCGACTATCTGGTGCAGGTCAGGGGAAGTATCTGGATGCAGCGCAGGACTGGTATTTGTGGAAATCCTTAGGGGAGACCTTTATCCAGCAGTAGATATCCTGTGACTCAAATCATGTGACTCCTGTGACTCAAATCATGTGACTAATGCCCGTTTTCACCATCAATCCCTAATTTTTTAGTGATCCCTATGAAATCAAAATTTACTGTTATGTGTTACCTTAGGGGTCACTTAAAAATTAGGGATTGATGGTGAAAACTGGCATAAGTCACTCAATCACTAGACTGCTGTGTGTGTGCTGATGACTTATTATTGAGGTCCACGATTTGCCAGTGCTAGGCGAGGTCAGGCCGGCTTCTTTCTGGGCGGTGTCGCGTCTCGTACAATGGTCCTTGATGGTTGGTTGGTTGGTACATCTACAGCATCAGACACTCACCCTTGGGATCGACGACCTTGACCTGCTGGCTGGCGGTACTGGGCGGGGACAGGCCGGCCTCGTTCTGTGCGGTGACGCGGAACTCGTACTGGCGGCCCTCGATCAGGTTGGAACAGTTCAGCATGTTGGGCAGGCAGAGCACAGCGTTCACGCGCTGCCACGTGCTATATCTAGCCCAGAACTGATGGCCATTGGGGCAGAAAAGTTCTCGAAAGAGAAGGGCCAGAAGACGTAGTGCGAGCAAGCCTCTTACTAGGTGGACCGACTATCCGGTGAAGGTCACGGGAAGCACCTGGATTCAGGCAGAGCTGGACTGGTCTTTGTGGAAATCTACTGGGCTTTATCCAGCAGTGGACGTCCTGTGGCTGATATGATGATGCCGATAACTTACTCTTTGAGTCGACGACATTGAGTGCTAGACGAGGTTAGACCGGCCTCGTTCTGGAGTGTCTAGTACCACGGCACTTGATGGCTGGCTTACATCTATAGTGATCTGATAATACATCTTTCCACTGTCACCATGTTCAGCAGTGGATGTCCTGTGGCTGAAATGACGATGCAGCTGATGTCTCATCCTTCGAGTCGACGACTTTTGAGTGCCAAGGGAGGACAATCCGGCTTCTTTCTGGGCGGTGTCGTGTATAGTACAACGACACTCGACATCAATAGATGACAAGACACTCACCCTTGGGGTCGACGACCTTGACCTGCTGGCTGGCGGTGCTAGGCTGAAATAATGATGCTGATGACACATCCCTAGGGTTGACGACTTTTGAGTGCTAGTGGTGGACACTGGACAGGCCGGCTTCGTTCTGGGTCATATCGCGTCTCGTACAATGGTCCTTGATGGTTGGTCGACTTCTACAGTGATCATCAGACACTCACCCTTGGGGTCGACGACCTTGACCTGCTGGCTGGCGGTACTAGGCGGGGACAGGCCGGCCTCGTTCTGTGCGGTGACGCGGAACTCGTACTGGCGGCCCTCGATCAGGTTGGCACAGTTCAGCATGTTGGGCAGGCAGAGCACAGCGTTCACGCGCTGCCACGTGCTATATCTAGCCCAGAACTGATGGCCATTGGGGCAGAAAAGTTCTCGAAAGAGAAGGGCCAGAAGACGTAGTGTGGACAGACTTCCTACTAGGTGGACGGACTATCCGGTGAAGGTCACGGGAATCACCAGGATGCAGCGTAGGACTGATCTTTGTGGACGTCCTTTGGCTGAAATGATGATGCTGATTACTTACTCACCCTTTGAGTCGACGACTTGGAGTGCTAGACGGGGTTAGACCGGCCTCCTTCTGGAGTGTCTAGTACAACGGCCCTCGATGGTGGATCTATATCTCCTCATATATTTATAGTACATCTAGTGACTAGATTCAGTACTCACCAACGCAAGCAATGTAAACTGTTTACATTATAACGTCGCTGCTGTCACGAGCAATGTGTTCTGTTTTTGGGCATATTGTCACGACACCGGCCCCGCCCCCTTTTCACAGCGTAGTGTTTGTGATCTGTGGTACTCACCCTTGGGGTCGACGACCTTGACCTGCTGGCTGGCAGTGCTGGGCTGAAATAATGATGCTGATGACACATCCCTAGGGTTGACGACTTTTGATTGCTAGGGGTGGACACTGGACAGGCCGGCTTCGTTCTGGGTCATGTCGCGTCTCGTACAATGGTCCTTGGTGGTTGGTCGACTTCTACAGTGATCATCAGACACTCACCCTTGGGGTCGACGACCTTGACCTGCTGGCTGGCGGTACTAGGCGGGGACAGGCCGGCCTCGTTCTGTGCGGTGACGCGGAACTCGTACTGGCGGCCCTCGATCAGGTTGGCACAGTTCAGCATGTTGGGCAGGCAGAGCACAGCGTTCACGCGCTGCCACGTGCTTGCGCCGACCTCGCGTTTGTCCACCCAGTAGCCTGGAGAAGGTGTAAGTTATTGAAGGTAATGAAGTAAAAGTGGCAAAGATAGCACTTGGTGTTGCCTACGAAATGACGGTAGTATTGCAGATGAAGAAAGACGGCGTTACATTTCATCTATGTGACCAGTGGCCTGGTGAGGTTCATGCTAGCCATTCATTTCTACTGAATGAGAAATGGCGGCTAAATAAAATGAGTCAGTATGTATCTGTCAATTTGTCATTAGAATGAAAACTTATTGAATTGAATAAGAAAATGATCAACGTTTGATAATATTTTTCCAAAAAGTGGACTTAAATAAGATTATTTATTAAGCTGGATATACTCAACGTATAATGCTGGAAAGAGTGAGTGAGATTGATCGTATTTAATAATTTGTAGAAACTGTTGTTTCAAAATGTTTCAATAACAGATTTCTTTTTTTTTTAAAAAGGGTCTCATTGGCATATATCATTGCATTGATCTCACGGGCAAATAGCATTGCATTGACGATTATCTCAGTTGCATTTTATCATAACATTTAGGGGATATACTTTACCTTGTATCCTAGCCCCTCCGTCGCTCTCGGGCTTGGCCCATTCCAGGTGCACGAAGTCTCCTCCGACCTCCAGGATTTTCGGAATGCCGGGCGCTGATGGCGGGTCGTATGGTGCCTTCGCCTGTTATATGGAAAGATATTAAGTCTGGGAACTCTATTTGATTGATCTAGAGATTTAATGGTCGTGATTATTTACGGGCTGAGCTTTCACATTTTCTTATATTAGACTTTAAAGATGACTACTGATTTTGCATTTAAAGCGTTATATTCCATCCAATAAAGTATCAGTTCATTAAAATAGGGTGTAAAGTGTACATCTGGGTATAGATGTCCTCACTGAACCGTCCCACCTGTGACATTGACAGGAGGGCGCTGCTATCTTTTTTTTTTTTTTTTTTTTTTTTTTTTTTTGATGATTCTGCTTCATGGCAATCTGTTTTTTCAACAATAAGCCACTTCTTTGGTTGATTCCTCAGACTATGTTTTCTTCGAGAGCCATACTTGTGTGAAAATTCATTTCACACGACTCTCTTAATGTCAGGTGGTAAATCTTTTATGTAGGCTCGGTATGTCATTTCTCTTTAGCCGGGTGTGCTGAAGAGCGCCTTCCCCACTCAGAGCGTGCGCTAAGTTGTTAACATGGGCGGTCAGCTTCTCCTGGTATTTCAGGCTGTTCTGGGCTATTTCCTGCCGAACTGTTTTTAGGCCGAGGTCGAGGTATATGTATCTATTACTTATACAATGTGGAATTCCAAACATTATTCGCAGAGCTTTGGTCTGGAATCTCTCCAGGATATCTATATTACTGTTGCTGGCCGTTCCCCACAGTTGTATACCGTAAGTCCAGATCGGTTTTATGGTAGTTTTGTACACTAGCATCTTGCTGCTAGGACTTAATTGTGATTGGCGTCCCATTAACCAGTTCAGTGACCGCAGCCTTCCATCCAGTTGTTTGCGCTTCGTCCAAATATGTTTCTGCCACGTAAGTTTCGCGCTGCTATCAATACTGGATTATTGGTTCCGATTTTTGCCACGTTGGAAACACTGAAATGTCATTTGCAAGAGAGCGCTCTACTATCAATGCTTGAAGTTTCAAAATCGTTCAACTAAGTATGTATTACATATTGAAATAAGTTTGAGTTGTAGACATAAGCTCGTACTTTGTTTATCCAAGGATTAAGTTCAAATCATGACGATTTCAGTAAGGTTTTGAGCAGTAATTATTTTAAGTTAACGAAACTGTTGCATTAAAAAAGTTTAGAGAAAATTTCATGTAAATTTCAAGTAGTCAAGTAATTAAAAGTTTATCAAGAGAGGAAAAACACTCTTTTACATACTATTATATTGACATACTAACCCTGATAGGATTGACTCCATCCAGCGCGGGTCCCACACCATTGTCATTAGCGGCGTGAACCCTGAAGTTGTACTCCTGTCCTTCCACCAACCCTTGCACTGTGAACTTGGTGTCGCGTACAGATGACGCGATGGTGATCCAGGCCGTTCCTAGGGAAGAACAAGTAAATAAATATAAATATTAGAGATTGACACATACTTTAACTAACATTTTAATCACAATATACCAATATTTTCGTGATCCTGTAGCTCACATAAAGACCCTGACGTTTATTTAACAAAGTATGTTATACTATCGCATTAGGCGTCAACCTGTAATGATAGTTATAAGTGAGGAAAAAAAATATGATATTAATCTCTTCTATAGTAATGTGGATTTCTCTATAGGTACACTAAGGGCTGCATGTGCCCAAGAATTTCATGATGGTTGATAGACTAACCATCACCCTATTACCTTTTTTGTGGTAGACAAAAGTTAGTGTCTCATCTTTACGCTCTAAAATCTCTTTAATTAACTCTTTTTCAATTCACATAGCCCTGTGGCTGTATCCAATCATTGTTGGAAGTGCTTGCCTAATGCCTTTACTAAATAGAATTAATGTTTTTACTGGCTTCGACCTTAAAATACGTATTTAAGGTTCAAACTATGGCGACAATCTTGCGGGGGGCCGGGCAGGCCTGTCACCGCCACTGAGAACGATATAAAGCAGTAAGTACTACCGCCGTCGTACGCGGGAGGCTTCCACGCCAGCGTGCAGGAGTGGCGGCTGACGTCACTGGCTTTTGTTTGTCACCTGTCATCCGCTTTGCAACGGAGGGAAGTCGAACCTTAATTTCGAACTCCTCCTATGTTCTTCTGATTAATTTCGTTGCGGGTTTATATGACGGTTTAATTTTCCCCCGGGACAAACTTGACCGTCATTGGTTGGGTTTTTATGGCGGTCCAGCTATAGATCCTGGCTACACAGGAGTTGCAGCGGTGGGAACGAGAGGTAGGAATAGTACCGATTTTTTTGACGTCAGTGGCTTCCAGCGGGCCTTGCGGCGGGCCGGGCAGGCCTGTCACTGTCACCGAGGACGAGACTGATGTCTCTCTCTCTATGATGTAGTGAGTGATGGGCGAGCCGCCGTCATACGCGGGCGGCTTCTACGCCGATATGCCGAGTGGCCTTGTTGGGGGACGGGCAGGCCTGTCACTGTCACTGAGAACGGTCTGAGTCGGATGTCTCGCCCGAGTTCTTGATATAAGACAATACATACCTGAGGTGTCATTCCTCTCGATGACGTAGTGAGTGACGGGCGAGCCGCCGTCGTACGCGGGAGGCTTCCACGCCAGCGTGCAGGAGTGGCGGCTGACGTCAGTGGCCTCCAGCGGGCCTTGCGGCGGGCCGGGCAGGCCTGTCACCGTCACGGAGAACGAGTCTGACGTCTCGCCGGAGTTGTTCTTGATTGTGAGCTTGTATGTGCCTGGAATTCAAGGTAATTATGAAATCAAATCAAACCATTTAAGTAGGAAGAACACATGGGGTATTAAAGTAGATCTCTAGGTAGAAGTTTGACTTTTGAGCTCGATATTTTGTCACTCCCGTTGATGAGGTTATAAGTTTGTAAAATTATCCTCATTTCTTTTAGTTACTGAAGTTTGTACTAATGTTTGTAAGTTAATTTTAATATTTAGGGGGCAGCTCTTTTTTATTCAGGGAATAAAAATAGTTCTAAGACAATAACTAGCTGCCGTTTATTATTCTTCAAATTCAATTTTTTCCTATAAATATTCTCGATATCTTATGACGGTGAGCATGACGTCACTAGTTGGTGTCGTGCTCCATTTAGGACCTTAGCATCTAACTATGAAGTCAATTTTAGCTTACCCATGTCATCCTTTCTGATATCCTTGATAAATATAAGCATGTAGTCATCAAAGACTGTACTTCAGCTTTGGCGACTCGGACACTTTGTGGCATTCCTTGCTAAATGTGACGTCACAGGCTTATGTCATGCTTTATTTAGAACCTTAATGGCTTCAGTATAGAGTCTAGATTGGCTTACCCATGTCATCCTTGCTGATATCCTTGATGAAGATAAGCATGTAGTCGTCAAAGACGGTGTATTTCAGCCTTGGCGTTTCAGACACCTTGTGGCCGCCCTTGGTAAGTCTGACGTCACAGGCTAATTTCATGTTTTCTTTAGAACCTTAATGGCTTCAGTATAGAGTCTAGATTGGCTTACCCATGTCATCCTTGCTGATATCCTTGATGAAGATAAGCATGTAGTCATCAAAGACAGTGTATTTTAGCCTTGGCGACTCGGACACTTTGTGGCCGTCCTTGGTAAGTGTGACGTCACGGACTGCTGCCGTGTTGCATTTAGGACCTTAATAACGTCATCACTATAAAGTCTACTTTAGCTTACCCATGTCATCCTTGCTGATATCCTTGATGAAGATAAGCATGTAGTCGTCAAAGACAGTGTATTTCAGCCTTGGCGACTCGGACACTTTGTGGCCGTCCTTGGTAAGCGTGACGTCAACGGGCTGGTCTCCAGTGTAGAGGATCTTGATCTTGGTGTTTTCATGCTCTGGTAGGTGCATGTCGCCTGGCATTCTGGTGATGCGTGGCGGGCCTGGGGAAAGAGTTGTGTTTAGAAAAATGAAAATTGGATTTTATGATTTTGAGTCTTGTCCTGGGTGGAAATAAGTGTACTCAGAATACGATTCATAGTAACAAGTTAATTTATTTTGTTTTGAGTTCGGCTTGGACTGTGTTCATGAACAGCCCTTTACAGTCCACTGCTGGACTATGAGCCTCCTCCACTATAGTGGAGGGTTTTGCCATAATCTCCACGCTTGGCAGGCGGGTTGGAGATCGCAGTTTAAAAGATTGATGTTTGTCAGAGAGCGCTGCTGCCCGTTCTCTGTTTGATGTGTAGTCCCTAAGTCGCCTCTTACGACACCCGCGGGAAGAGTAGGGGTTGGTGACAAATGTATTCTACTCTGCCGTCACCACACGGCACTATGTTATAGAAATATTAATCCAGGCTTGCAGCAAATCAGGCACATTTGGTCACGATATCAGACGTCATTGCATAAATTCTTACACCAGGCAGGAGATTTCAGATATAACAGCACCCACAAAATAACGTATCGAAAAGAAATTCAATATGTTTACGAATATAAAAAGGGTTCTAACTTATGATAAGTAATAATTGGAAAAGTTTACTTTTTAAAAAGCTACAGCATATCATTGGAAAATCAGACCTGTTCATCTCCGCAAGTTTACATCGAAAACAAAACACGCACGATGGCCCACCTACAGGATACTATTCGACAAGGCCTCACATACGAGCGAACATTGACTCACGCACGCGTATTTGTATGATGGAAGAAAATAAAGAAAATGGTGTACTAAATACTGTGCAGTATTTAACTGCCTAAATAATAATAAAAACACAGAATGTACTTTTTTAAGTTGCCTCAAGACACTGAGAGGTAAATAAGTAGGTAGTTAATATTATTCACGATAATTCATGCTAAATTATGTATTTCCTCAGCCATTTTCCGCGGTTTGGCACCTCACGTCACATCATTTTACCGAAGTCAGCCCTATAGCTTCGGCGCAGTGCCGATCACTGACGTTTGTCAACAAAATGGTGCTTGACTCTTGAGACAGGCTAAATTACACCATATTGTTAATGACATTGAGCATACATTTTTTTAAATACCTTCGCGAAGTAAAACTTCTGTACGTAGTACTTATTATTATTCTGTGGTAAAATTACGAAACTAAAACATTGTTTTGCTTATTTCGTTTGATACTCACTTCCGATCTTAAGGTGTCCAGTGCTGTAAATGAAGCCGATGTTGTTCGAAGCCTCGCACGTGTAGTCACCCTCGTCATCATCCTTGGCTTCGAGGATGTTCAGCTTCAGCGTACCCTCGCGGGATTCCGCGATGAACCTGGTGGAACAGACAGTTTTCATCATCATCTTAAGGTTTTTTAGTCATCATCAGTACCAGAGGTAAATGGAGGATTCGGTGTATACTCCCCACGAAGGATAGACGGGTTGGGAAAGCCTAATGTGTTCACATATTTCTCCCTTAGTCGAGTCTTACGACATCCACGGGAAGAGGTTCTATATGTTTGAGGATATAATTATCAAAATTGCACAATCAATAAACTACACAAAAATATGCAGCAGCTAGTTGTAAAAATGGGTGTACAGTTCTCTGGTATTTTTGGGGGAGACCCGCGTCCATCTATGCAGACTGCAGTAGTTTGAAATAATGTCAATGTAGAACTGCACATGACATCACATAATAATTTTTTATGCGAAATAGCACATGTGCAGTCAACGTCAAAAGGTTCGTGACACCTGAAGTAGCAAAAAAATTAGCAACACGTCTTTGTTACAATTGGAATAAGGTTGTGTTGTCAACTTTTTGGCCACTTTGGGTGCCACAAACTATTTAACGCTGTCTGTACAACAGATGCTTCAATGTTTACTTGATATGCTGTTGCCTGTACATACCTGGTTCCCAGCACCAATTCCCTGCCGTTCTTCATCCAGCGCCCGGTAGGCGATGGGTTGCCAGTGGCCACACATTCTATGGTGTAAGGCCTGCCGAGCGGCGCGGCCATGTGTGGTGGCACTTGCTTCACCCATTCCGGTTTGGTTCCGCCGATCTCCTCGCCCGTT